AAAAGGTTTATATATGGCTCATAATGATTTTGTTGCCGTTAGTGTTGGCGATGTTAGTAATGCCTCTAACCAATGTTTTATGTGTGATGGATTAGTGAATAAAACGATTTTCAGCAAACGTATTGATGTGTTAGGTAATATTTATACAAATGCCGATGTTAATTGTGATAATGTTAATATTGCTACTGATGGTAAATTAACAATTGATACAAATTGTGAATTATATAGATATGTTAGTGCTTTTTCATTTTTTGATGTGAGAAATACTGATGCTAATTCTTCAACTAGGTTCATTTGTGGAGACCCTGCCGTTCAATCTAATATAGTAGGAACTGTTAATATTTCTACCGGATGGACTTTTAACACTGCTACTGCCGATGTTATGGGTAATGTATTTGCTGATGATGTTTATGTTAAAACTGGTGGAGCGTTAAGAAGCAATCATATAGCTCCTAATGGTGGCACATTAGAAACCGTTGATACTAACTTAGCAGTTCAAAATGCTTATTTAGCAACTAAGGCCATTCAATCATTTGAGTTAACAACGGTTTCATTTTTAGATAATATTTCAATGACAACTGGAACAGATATATGAATGGGAACGAGTGAAATATCAACTTATTGTGATGGGACTAATTTATCTACAATTGATGTTAAACTTAATACAACCAATACAGCATTCAGAGTAATTGATAATGCAGCTGTATTTTCAACATTATTTTCTATTGATAAGACTTATGGAACAACAGTAAATACTGGAAGTTTTACAAATAATGCCTCATCAGCATTTAATGAAGATGTAACGGTTGTTAAGACAAAACATTATTTGTCAATGATATTCAAGATGCTTCAGGGGATGCTATTGATATTACTGCGGGAACTGTAACCATAAATGGAAGTCTAACAGATAATTCAGATGCAAGATTAAAATATGCTGTAGATTTACTTAAAAGCAGTTGCATTAATATGATTAAGAAATTTAAACCAACAAAGTTCAAGAGAAAAGATAGAGACGCCAAAAGAAATTAGTAATGTAGTTCATACTGGTCGTGAATATCTAGGTATTGAATATACAAAAGTTCCAATATTATTACATAAAGCTTTACTGGAAGTAATAGATAAAGTTGAAAAATTAGAAAAGAAATTAAGGAATTGAAAAAAGAAAAATCAAAATACGACCATAATATGGGTAAGTCAAATAGTAATGTTGAAACTTCAAGTATTGATAAAATCAATGATATTGATGTAGAACAATTCGATTTAAGTAATATTGATAAATTACAGTTGAAAGCAATTAAGCAAATGAGTGAAAGATTTTAGACAAACTGGAGAAAGAAAAATGTGACAAATTAATATATAAATTACCAGCGTTGAATTTATGTAGTTATAGTTTGTTCTGAATTAATAAAAATATTCATATTATTAATTTACGGGATTTTCTTTTTCATGACGCACCATAAAGATTTTATTTACATCACTCTCACGAAGTTTGACAAACAAAAAGCTGTAAGGTTGCTCTCCCACAGCCATTTGATATATTTTCATTAATGTTTGTTTATCTACTAATGCTGATTGTTCCATTATAAATGTATCCACCTCGGACATATTCTTTAATTTGAATATATATAAACTGCTTGTATTCAGCCTAACAATAGGAGCGAGACGGTTATATTTTTGAACGGCTGTAATAACGGAGAAACCGAAGTGTCTTGATTTTGTATAAAATGCGTGTTTTATTTTACTGTGTCTCATAAATGTTTTATCTTCTGCGAAGTCATCAATAATGAGTAAGCAACTAAATAACTTCTTCATTCCGATTTTCTTTTGATACTCTGTAATTTTATGTTGTGTATCAGCTATATTTTGTAGTGCTTCAGCGTTGTATTCTTCATACAAATATTGCCCTTTATTATTATCTGCTTTTAATTCAGTTTCTACATATTTAATAATTTCTCTATACGCTTCATCAATCGTTGCTGTTGGGGAAACAATGTATATTCTTTCAAAGCAGTTGCGATACACTTTTAATACGAGGTTCTGTATTAAAATGCCTTTGCCGCCCTGTGATGAACTACAAATAATACTACGAAATGGTAGTTTATCTGCTTTTTCATATGATGGTTGTTTAAACTCATACTGTCTAACATTTGTTGGTTTTATTTTTGGTGGTGAATGATTATTTGACATAATAAAAGATTAAATATATTTGGAAAATAATTGTATACTATTGTTGAATGAACTATCGTTTATGATAAGGGATATCATAAATGGAACGGATGTTCATCAACTTCATTCACAAGCATTGAAGATAATTGTTTTGATACAGTTTGAAGAAAACCCCAGTGCTGAGCCCCGAGCATTCTAAATAATAAGATTCCAAATAATAAGTTTTTTTTTATAGTTTATCTTACTATTTATATGACTATTATCCATTGCAGTTGTGGTAAAACTTATGATGACAAATATTTATTTAAACATCTAAATTCAAAACATCATCAGAAATTTGTGGAATATAGGTGGAATAAAGACGGTACAATGAAAAAGCTTTATAAGAAAAGAAAGAAAGAAATGAAAACAATATCTTATTATTTTATATGGATAGGACGTATTCAGACTATATTGATATAATAGATGAAGTAGAGAAAATAGAGCAAGAAATAATAACTGATCATAAATGTAAGAACGTATGCTATTTTGTTTTAGAAAAATTAAGTTAGGAATGCAATATATCAGAAATAAAAATGTAAATGTTAATATAAATGCCAAAAAGAAAAAAGAGTAAAAGCAAAGAAAGACCAATGCCAGAGGTTCAAGAAAGAATTATAACAACAGAAAGTGTTAAATCAGTGGGCGAAAGTAAATCTATAAAATGTGATAAATGTAATCACGTTATGAGTTTTAAGAATGAGTTGACGGTAGATAAAAAGGATGGTGTTAAAGTTAGTTGTATTCCTTGTATGTTGTCTTATAAACAGTCAGATAAAGACTTGAATATTAAGAAGAAATCAGGTGGTGATATGGTTATTGAAACTAACGAACACTTGATTAATGTTAGTTTTAACAGAGACATAAGTTAGTATATAAAGAGTAGATTTAATATATTTTAAACATTTAGTTTTCAAAGTTTTATTTTATAATATAGTCTATATTTACATGGGACAAAGATTTGAAAGCATTGTTTGAAAAAATAGATTTGGTGTTGATGCAAAATAAGAGCATTTTTAGAAATCCTACATGCAATGGAGAAGAAACCATCCTTAAAATACATTGACAAAAACGGTAGCGAATTTAAGAGCCGAAGAAACATGTATATTACAAAATTGAATGATGGTTCAAAAAAGGAACCAAAAAAGAGCACTTTAGATTTTTACAATGTAGATCATGATGAGGATACAGGGATTTATTCTTGAATTTAAACATGTTTCCCTTAAAATCCATTTAAAGAAATATTAGCATAAATAATACTATGAGTTCTACAGATGACGAAGAAGAAACAGGATGCACAATGGTTTATCATTGCAGTAAATGCGATGAAGCAAAGCCAAGAAAGGATTTTCACAAAATGTATAATAGAATTAAAATGGAAGATATATTTTACAAAACATGTAAGGAATACAGAGACAAAGTAAAAGCAACAAAAGAGTTAAGGAAGGACCAGAAGAAGCGAATACAGCCAATGGAAATTCATAGGTTAAAGCCTTTAATACCTTAATTTTACTATACTTACAACATGTAAGATCTTTTATGTTGTAAGTATAGTGGTAAACATCTTTTCTATAAACATAATTTCTCTGAACATGTATTTAAAGAAATGTTAACTATGTATCTTAGGATAATGAGCGATACAGAAAGTGAAACTAGTCAATATAGTGATACAGATAGCGAATATAGCAAATATAGTGATACAGTCCGTGAAGATATTGATGCTAAGTATATATTGAGAGAAAAGTTTACGAGTTATAAATGTAGGGTATACTAATACTAGAAATGTGAAAAATATTGACGAAGATTTAGAATATTCGTGTTTATTAAAATGAATAAATTCTTGACTGAAGAAGAGTTTCATAATGTGTTATATGAAGGTAATGATGATGGAAGCGATAATGATTTCATTTTTAAGTATTACAATCGGGTGAAAAGATTATATGGTATGTCTTTTAATAATAGGAGTTTAAAAAAGAAGCACTGAATGATAATGACTTTGATTTTGTAAATGAGTTTTCAAATTATGAGTATAAAGCTCATGAACTTAGATACACAGTAATAAATGCAATGAGAACAATGGGCTGGTTTAAAAAGGAAATAGGAAATAATACTATAATGAAAAAGCAGTTGATGAAATAATGAAACGAATTAAAGAAGAATTTTATAATGACTTAGAATACAGTTGAACTCATAATATAACTATAACGTGTAAGCATTTATATGTTATAGTTATAGTGTAATTTTCCTGTATAAGCCGTGGTGGTGCCTAACATGGCCTTAGTCCCGATCCGCATATTGCTATCCAGATTTTTGTGGGGCAAGGTGGTGTTCTTTCATTTTCGGGGTGATCTGATCAGAACAATTTCGGTTGAAAAATGGGGTTTCATTTTAGACTGTTCTTATTTGTTGGAAATGGGTAAGGGTGTCAAGTTGGATCAAGGGAGAAATGATTGAGATTTTGGGGCTGTGATCTTGGGAGTGGAAAATGTTGGTATGTAGCTTGGATTTTTTGGATGGGGTTTGTTGAGGTGGTGTGTAGTTCTGAGTATTGTTATTGAATGAGCTAATGTGCTGATGTTGAGTGTGAGGAGATGAGTGAGAAATGGAGACGGGTGTATGAATGTGCGATTTTTGGTGCTGAAGTTGGTGCGTGTGATGTTCTGGAGGTGTGAAAAGAGTTGATTTAGTGTGTGTATTTGAATGGCTAAAAGTGTGGGGGGGTATAGGGGGCGGAGAACAATATGCGGACGGGAGAGGCCTTGTCCAACTCCTTGACCCCGCTGGCTCCCTTCGAGGCCCTTGCGCTCTTCGCCCCCGTGGCGCTCTGCGGCACCCTGCCCTGCGCGGCCTACGAGTGGCGCCACTCCGCCGCCGCGTCCGACGCTTCCCGAAGCGGCGCGGTGCAGGTGGCGGCCCTGGCGCTCAACGCCATGGTGGCGGCGCCTCGGCGGCGAAGCCGTCGGAGCCGTGGGAGCCGTCAGTGCCATGGGCTTTTGGTTCGGAAATGGAAATGGATGGCGCTGATGGTTCAGATTGGTTTGATGCCATCCATTTGCCTGGCCATCCATTTGTTTTCTCCAAAAGGTCGCCGGTGGGCAGAGAGGGTTGTTCTTGGCAAATGATGGTCCAAACTCACATTGTCACCTGTTTTGGGAAAGCTCGCATTTGGCCCGCCTTTACTTGGGCATCCCTTGTTTTTTGCTGTGGAATAATTGCTAGAACTTGCAGGAAAGCGGAAGTGCATCGTTGGAATCCATTGGTCAACATCGGCGCCCCGCCTGACTTCAGCTTGATTGCACATAGCTGGTACTACCCTGTGCTTCCTCGACTATTCTTTAAATAGCCTCGACCATTTAAAAACGAAAGGCTATAAAAGTAATGTCCCTCGACCATTAAAAGTAGGTTTAGACAAACTTGGCCAACTCGAGACGGCTGGCTCCTGACATCCCCACGCGCTTCTGTGCAGTGAGAGGTTGAAGAACTTTATTGCTGCCTTTAATGAAATAGGCTAAGTATGTTTTACAGTCGCTTCATCCCGTTGTAATCACACGCCGTCACCATGCTGTGTCAATTTGGCTTGTCCCTCACATGCCCGTGCGTGTTTTTCCACTTCGTCTGATCGCGTGTTGTTTGTGAATTGTTTAATCGATTTCGGCAGAAAATGAGGCGTGGACAAACCATGGACAAACCGTGGAAAGTACGTTTTTAAGCATGGAAAGTACATTTAAAAGCGTGGAAAGTACGTTTAAAAGCGTGGACAACCATACCCCCAGGAGCCCATAACGCATGTTTAATCGGCAGCGATGCCCCGATGCCACTCAGTTTGCAGCATTTTTCAAAAAAGCCGGACTTCAGTACCAACATGCGAAGAATCTACGCACGCCTCTACAGTAGGCAGGACACCTGGCGATTTTGAAAAGTGATGCGACCATACATGTGGCAAGCCGGGGAATGAGTGGCTTGGGTGCAGTCATTTGCAGCTGGGAAGATGAGGGCGGCGTGACTTTCAGTGACCTGACCATAGCAATTCTTGGGCAACAAAAACCATGATTTTTTGGATATTCAGGGCCACGCGCAAAAAACGGTCTTTCGGCAAAAAACAGTCTAGCGACCTCGACCATTCTGTTAATGGCCTTTGGAAGCCTAGGGACTGGCGTCAGTTTTGCGAAACTAGGGTGCGAACCAACGGGTTGAATGCGGAAACACCCAATTGGGACGGGAGGATCCTGAGCTGTATACTTTTCAGCGTTTTTCCCAAGATGTGGGTCTGCCTCCAAATGGAGGAACTTCCCAAACATGCGGCCCGATTTACCCTTCCAGAAAGGAAGTTCCTTAAACAAGTTTCCTTAAAGGATGGTGATTAACCCTTTTGTATGAACCAAGGATGGCCGCAAACTTGAATCGGAATCATCCTTCAATCATTCTTTGCTTAGAGGATGGTTTTTGTTTCCAAAAGGATATGACCAAAGCACTCTCCTTGCAGCTCCCGTCACAATACATCTTCCAGGCCGCCAGCCCCTCAGCTGGGATTTGTCTAGGGGTTGATTCCTTTTCCATTCTTTTCAACCGAGCCAGCCGTTTTACCTGGGTTTCTGGAAGTTTTCAAGAAAGAAGGATGCCTGGAAAGAATGGGGAAGCCTGGGATTTCGGATGACATCTTGAGGGCGCCGAATTCTCAGCCTATCAGCTTCGCGGGGACATGGAACACGTGCCATTTGAGGGCCAATGCATTCGATGTCCAAACAATCACACGGTGAGCCCGAAAAAGTGCGGATGATGCCATCATGTCTCAAGATTTGCGTGGCACTTGTTGCGTCGATCTCTTGCCACGGGCGACAGATATCTCGCCAGAGGTGCATGTTGCCAAGGGATGTTAGGACTTCAAAGCTTTTTGCCAACTTAGTAGGTTTTCCATTAAACCACGAACCATTCAACCCAACGAATGGGTTCTCTCCATACCACTAAAAGTTATTCACTTGCAGGGCTGAAAGCAGAAAGCGACCGAGTCGTTGCCATGGGTCAAAATCCCGTACCCCCAGTGAACATCCGAATTTCCCCACTAAAATAGGTTCTAACATGGGTGGTGAATTCACCAACCAAAATGGGATCCCGTTTAACGGTTTTGACCTCACCACAGCCATATCTTGCGACAGGTCAGCCTGAACATCGCCTATTCCCGGCTGCTGAAAGTGGCCAGCCCCGTGACCTTCACCGTCTTCGGCACCTTCAAGGCGCTTCGCTCGCTCGCGTTCCGCGTTCGTCTCAGAAGTTCTTTGTTGGAATCGCGGTGGTTTTTTCTGGGTTTCCTTTTCGAATAATACTAATAAGACAACAAATAACAGTAAACACAAAAAACACAGAAAAAGAAAAACACGCAAAAACCAAGCAACACAAGAAAGGGTACCGACTCCAAAAGCAGAACCACCCACAGATGGTTGCGAACTCCGCAACACACAGCGGTTAGATTGGGGCCCTTTTTTCTCTCCGGCCAGTGTTTTTGTTAAGGCTTTAAGGGGTTCATGTATCCCAGTGCAGGCCAATGGCTCACCAATGTGAGTTGAGTTTAGGGAGAAAGGCTCAGGCTGATACTTTTGGATGGAGACTGATTTTGAGAGACAGATTGATATGGGCATGGGTCAAAATTAAACCACCAGGAATTGGACCACATTTTAGTCCATGTTTCCATGTACCAGGGTTCCATTTTGGGTACCTATTTTTGACCCACAGCCATACGAGTCACTGACAGTATTGTTTGTTGTCAAGGCTTTCAGAGTACACCGTTTAACCTTCCCCCGCCCCCACCCCAGGGGAATTCACCTTACAAAATGGTGAATTGGGTATCTTTTTGTGCAATTCTGGGCACGCCCGGAAAGGATACAACTCTGGAACCCTTGAAAAACGAGAATATGTCAGAGGAGCCCAGCAACCTGTGAGTCACAATCAAAGCTGCTTTTTTTTGGATTCTAAACGTAGCTGCTGGTACCATGGGTTTTTTGGATTCCAAACGTAGGATGTGAACGAGGAAGCCGTGCATCATGTTTGGATAAAAGCATGTCAACAAGACGAGTCATTGACGAATGTCGTGTTGATGTTCCAATTGCTGGTTTCTCAACATGTAACCTCCGAGTCGTCAGCGTCGTCTGTGGGCTTCGGACCTTTCGGACCTTCGGACCTTCGGACCTTCGGACCTTCGAACCTTCGATCCTTCGGACATTCGATTCTTCGGACCTTCGGACCTTCGATCCTTCGGACCTTCGGACCTTCGAACCTTCTGACCTTCGGACCTTCGGACCTTCGGACCTTCGAACCTTTGGACTTTCGGACCTTCGGACCTTCGGACCTTCGGACCTTTGAACCTTCGGACATTCGATTCTTCGGACCTTCGGACCTTCGGACCTTCGATCCTTCGGACCTTCGGACCTTCGAACCTTCGGACCTTCGGACCTTCGGACCTTCGGACTTTCGAAACCTTTGGACCTTTGAACCTTCGGACCTTCGGACCTTCGAACCTTCGGACCTTCGGACCTTCGGACCTTCGAACCTTCAAACCTTCGGACCTTCGAACCTTCGATCCTTCGGACATTCGATTCTTCGGACCTTCGGACCTTCGAACCTTCGGACCTTCGGACCTTCGGACCTTCGGACCTTCGAACCTTTGGACTTTCGGACCTTCGGACCTTCTGACCCTCGAACCTTCGGACCTTCGGACCTTCGGACCTTCGAACCTTCGGACCTTCGGACCTTCGGACCTTTGAACCTTCGGACCTTCGGACCTTCGAACCTTCGATCCTTCGGACATTCGATTCTTCGGACCTTCGGACCTTCGGACCTTCGGACCTTCGATCCTTCGGACCTTCGGACCTTCGAACCTTCTGACCTTCGGACCTTCGGACCTTCGGACCTTCGAACCTTTGGACTTTCGGACCTTCGAACCTTCGGACCTCCGGACCCTCGGACCTCCGGACCTCCGGACCTTCGGACCTTCGGACTTTCGATCCTTCGGACCTTCGGACCTTCGAACCTTCGATCCTTCGGACTTTCGATCCTTCGGACCTTCGGACCTTTGGACCTTGGAACCTTCGATCCTTCGGACTTTCGATCCTTCGGACCTCCGGACCTCCGGACCTTCGGACTTTCGAACCTTTGGACCTTCGGACCTTTGGACCTTGGAACCTTCAATTCTTCGGACCTTCGGACCTTCGGACCTTCGGACCTTCGATCCTTCGGACCTTCGGACCTTCGAACCTTCGGACCTTCGGACCTTCGGAGCTTCGATCCTTCGGACCTTCGGACGTTTGGACCTTCGAACCTTCGATCCTTCGGACCTTCGATCCTTCGGACCTTCGGACCTTCGGACCTTTGGACCTTCGGACCTTCGAACCTTCGATACTTCGGACCTTCGAACCTTCGGACCTTCGATCCTTCGGACCTTCGGACCTTCGGACCTTCGAACCTTTGGACCTTCGGACCTTCGGACCTTCGGACCTTTGGACCTTCGGACGTTTGGACCTTTGGACCTTCGGACCTCCGGACCCTCGGACCTTCGGACCTCCGGACCTTCGGACCTCCGGACCTTCGGACCTTCGGACCTTCGAACCTTCGATCCTTCAGACCTCGATCCTTCGGACCTTCGGACCTCCGGACCTTCGGACCTTCGGACCTTCCAACCTTGGATCCTTCGGACATTCGATTCTTTGGACATTCGGACCTTCGGACCTTCGGTCCTTCGGACCTTCGGACCTTTGGACCTTCGGACCTTCCAACCTTCGATCCTTCGGACATTCGATTCTTTGGACATTCGGACCTTCGGACCGTCGATCCTTCGGACCTTCGGACCTTCGGACCTTCGGACCTTCGGACCTTCGGACCTTCGAACCTTCGGACCTTCGGACCTCCGGACCTTCGGACCTTCGGACCTTCGGACCTTCCAACCTTCGATCCTTCGGACATTCGATTTTTCGGACCTTCGGACCCTCGGATCTTCGGATCTCCGGACCTTCGGACCTTCGGACCTTCGGACCTCGGACCTTCGGACCTTCGGACCTTCGGACCTTCGGACCTCCGGACCTTCGGACCTCGGACCTTCGAACTTTCGGACTCTCGGACCTCCGAACCTCCGGACCTGCGGACCCTCGGACCTTCGGACCTCCGGACCTTCGGACCTTCGGACCTTCGGACCTTCCAACCTTCGATCCTTCGGACATTCGATTCTTCGGACCTCGGACCTTCGGACCTCCGGACTTTCGGACCTTCGGACCTCCGGACCTTCGGACCTTCGGACCTCCGGACCTTCGGAGGTCCGCTCGGACCTCCGCACGCTCGGACCTCCGGACCTCCGGACCTCCGGACCCTCGGACCTTCGGACCTCCGCACCTCCGGACCTTCGGACCTTCGGACCTCCGGACCTTCGGACCCTCGGACCTTCGGACCTCCGGACCTCCGGACCTTCGGACCTTCGGACCTCCGGACCTTCGGACCTTTGGACTTTCGGACCTTCGGACCTCCGGACCTTCGGACCTCCGGACCCTCGGACCTTCGAACTTTCGGACGCTCGGACCTCCGAACCTCCGGACCTCCGGACCCTCGGACCTTCGGACCTCCGGACCTTTGGACTTTCGGACCTTCGGACCTTCGGACCCTCGAACCTTCGGACCTTCGGACCTTCGGACCTTCGAACCTTCGGACCTTCGGACCTTCGGACCTTTGAACCTTCGGACCTTCGGACCTTCGAACCTTCGATCCTTCGGACATTCGATTCTTCGGACCTTCGGACCTTCGGACCTCCGGTTTCGGACCTTCGGACCTCGGACCTTCGGACCTCCGGACTTTCGGACCTTCGGACCTCGGACCTTCGGGACTGCCAAGAGGACGTGACCACGGCCGGGCTCTCGCTGCTTGTCGTGGGGGGCGTCGTGACGCCGCAGCAGCTCTGCGGCTACGGGGTGACTCTGCGCCTCGGACCAGCGGTTGGGGTTTGTTGCCCTTTAGCGCGGTGCTTTCTTGGGATGCTGAAGGTGTTTTGGTTGGATTTTCCCGTGCTTGTTGGGAGTTTGACGTTTGTTGTTTTTGTTTTTTGGTGAACATGTGAACGGGCGGGAAAAGAGGTGACAGGAATCTGGAAAGGAAGAGATTCCCTATCTGTCACCGTCTCTTTTCCATTCACTCTGTTCATCTTTCATTATGTTTATTCCCATGCTTCCAAGACAACCAAAATAACCTGAGGCACCCAACGTGCCCTTTTTTATAGGTACGAGAAAAAAACGCTCGAATTACCGATTTCTGCTCGAACCCCCAAAAACGCTCGCCCCCCCCCGAAAAACGCTCGACCACATCCCCTTCTTCCATCCAGAGGAAGGCGGGATTGTTACGTTTTTTAAATTTGCACTCGTTTGCGGATATTTGCGCTCGTTTTGCGGATATTTGCGCTCGTTTTGCACTTTGATTTTTGCTCGCTCCTTTTGAATATTCAGCGACCGAGCATCTTGGAGGACCGACCAGCCCGGTTTTGGGAAAAACGCTCGAAGCAGGAAAAAGTGTACGTTTACCATATTTTGGTGACGACCCCTGGTTTTGCAATACGTTTGGGCTAAGGGCAGAAATTTATGTAACGAAGGGTGCTCCAGGAACTAATAAAAGATGAAGATTACAAGGGCTGGGAAAGATAGGAGATAGACCCAGCCGTAGGAAGAGATGGACTCCTTTACACGTCTTTCATTCCCTAATTCGCTTCTTTTAAGCTTCTTTTATCTTCATTCCTTACCTTTTTCTATTTTATTTTCGATTACTAGCAAAGTTTTTAATTTATCCGGGTTTTCCTGTGTGTTTGGGAGGTTGACCGTGTGTTGTGGGGATTTTCCTGTGATTTTTGGGATGTTGAAGGTGTTTTTTGGGGGATTTTCAAGTATTGTCTGCCTTGGGTCGGATAGCCTTGCTCTCTTTTTGGGAAGACCATGTTAGTGGTTTACAAATAGTTTGGTTTCCACTCATGAGACAAGGTACACACCCCGTTCCGCCCCCTTCTTCCCCTGGACCTAATTTGGGAGTGGACGCCATCTTCGAAATCTTGACTCATGTTCCTTTGCCATTTGTGACTACTGTGGAGTAACATGGATCCGGATGAATTAGCTTAGCAGATGAATGGGGGTCTGTTTTTCCAAAAGTGACGCGGATCCCTCGCAAATGGGACACCCTCTATTCTTCGACGTGGGTTCATAAAACCTGAATTCCTGAGAAATGTCAGGGGATACTCTTTGCGGCACTGTTGTTGCTGCTTGGCCACCCACTTGTTCAAGCAGGTTGGAAGAGCTGGTTGTTTCAACTCACTGTTGGTTTTCTTCGGAAGAGGTCTATGGTCTTGTTTACAGCCAACATCATCAACATGCGGGACCATCTTTCCATGCAAGGCCCGTTATGTTTGATTTTCCTCAGTTTCTTGTTTGCAACATTTTTTCTGAACCCCAGCTTTTCAGGCTCTTGGCTGATCGCAGGTTTTGAATTGTTGAACTACACAGAGCGCAGGGACGCTGTACGGCAGCTGAACTCCAAATACCTTCTTCTTTGACCATTAAAACGACAGTTTTTGTTTGTTCGTACCAAGTAAGGGAATGTTGCCAGGCCTCAAGTGAGATCCAGCCAAACCAAGGAAGACGCCCGGAAAGCACAAAGGATGTATTGATCGACCGCGAGTAATATCGGCTGGGATCACTCTCCATACTCCCTTGCAAGGTCTGGTTTATAGGTTTAATCCCCCAATATCCATTCCCATGATGGCTTCTGCCTCAGGTCGTAGGCTTGTGACGATGGTTTTGTTGCCTCTTGTCTTGAGAGATGAGGAGATCGGCGCCACCCCTTGTTTGGATGGGGATGGATTCGAAGCTCCTGGTTCTTTGGGCGACACAGAGTTCCCAGAATCGAAGCTGGCTGCGCGGGCCGAGGATCGGGATGGTGTACTATGATCGAATCAAGCAATCCCAGTGAGATCCAGAGATGGGAGATGCGTGGAAGGTTGAAAAGGTCTGAACTGGCTGGCCCTTTGAACACAGGGGCACTGCATTGATCGTCCACCAATTGGGAGTTCCAAGCATTTGGGAGTTCCGAGTAAGGGATCACTAATGGTCTGGAAGGGTGCTCAGTGACCGATTTTTCCGGAGGAACACTTGCCGGGCTTGTGTTTAGCGGACACCAAAAGGTACTTCCCGATTTTGACACATGCCGGAAAGTTGTCCGACGTGGTTCAGTTCATGGCTTCGGATGGCATTTCGGCTCCCAAGTCTTCTGCAATTGCATCTTTCCCACGAGCACATTCAAGATCGCAGGTGCCAGGAGATTTGCCACTTGAGCTTTCGAGAGTTGCACACCGAGCTGGAAGACGCAGCTTTTCACAGTTTTTCCGCAGCGGGTTTTCATTCGCCATGAGCCAGATCGAGGGAATTGAGGCGCCGAGTTGTGTGTCGTGGCTCCTATCCAATCTGATGTCGCCTTGTGACAGTCGGTCAACATGCCGGTTTCAACATGGACCCTCCTGTTCACCGACCTGTAGCCCGCCAAAAAGCAGGTCCCCTGCAAAGCTTTGCCCCCGAAACGTGAGGTCCCATGAAAGGGGGACAGGAGGGTAGCTCGGCTCTCAACCCATTGGGGTCTCCTTAAGTTTTTTTCTTTTTTTTCTCCCGAGGCTGACTGTCGCTACTCCCGCGACAGGCCTGCCGGTCGGCCAGTTCCGCGCAAACTGGAAAAAGGGCACTTGGATGGTTTAAACCTCGGCCAAACGGTCAGCAATCCCTGTTACAACCCGCTCAGTGCTCTTACAACCATGGTAAGTGGGTCAAAGGTTACCATTTGAGCAAAGTCCCGCACCAAGGGAAACCTGCGAACACCAACACGCGTCGGCGAGGCTGCTCTCCTGCAGGCGGAATGGGCTCCCTGGATGCAATCTGAGGAGGAAATCGGCTGCTCAAGCGAAGTGAAACCCCCAAAGCCGATTCAGATTCCTTTCTGCCACTTTTGGCAGGTGGGTCCCTGGCATCCTTAGGATCATGCTGTGGATGGACGAACTCCTGCACCGCTTCGAAACCATGGGAAAGCCATTGTTTGTTGGCATCAGGGGAAGCATCAGAAACCAGGGTTTCTGAACGGTGGTGCGAAATGGTTTTCGCAATTTCGTCCATCCACAGTAGGCCTGTAGAACCCTGATAGCCAGGTTGGAGAACCAGAGTCCATGAATTTTGGGCGCTGCTCAGTTGGGATTTTCCTTAAGCACACGACCCTTCCCCCCCCTCCCCGCGACAGGGTTGCTCGACAGAAAGACGCAGTGACCACGTGATTTTTTCGAGGATCCGCTTCTGAGTGCGGTGATTCCTGAATGTATACTGCTTTGGGACAACCCTCATTTCCACGGGTCCTTCCTAAAAGACGCAAAGTCTTCTCCCAAAAGTCTTCGCCGAGTGAGGACGCGACTTTCGACCAGATGGGTGAACGGAATGGTAGTGGGCGGAGCTTCGGAACTTTGGGTAGGTTTGGTTCCTTCACCCTTCACCGGGGCCTAGTGCCTATCTGCTCTCGTTTTATGGAAGGCGCAGGAGTGGAGCCGAAGCCTGGAGCGAGCGATTCGACTGCGTTTTGTTTCATCTTGGCGCTGAAATAGACTAGGTCCCCCAGTAGTGCCCTTTCTCACCTTTTTTTGGGGAGGGTTCCCCTAGATTGACTACAGAAAAAAGGGTACCCTTATTCGAACCTCTCTACCCAGTAGAGACCTCGGATCATTGGGGACCCAAGAAAGCTTCGAGGGTTCCTTCTGTTGGATTTGGGGAGTGGGAGATCCCAGCAGCGTTCGAAAGCTTTCAGTGGGTAGGCTCCTCTGATTTTGAGTTCGGGGTCAAAGAGTCAACGGGTCAGGCGGAGTCTCGAATGGTAGCTCGAGTGTTTTGAGCTCTGGGCCAAATTCCGGGCAAGCCCCCAAATTCCAAGGCGACACAAAAGCGGGGAAAAATGAAGGTCCCTTGCTTGCTTGGCCCCTATTTTCTCGTTTTATGTCGCTGTCTCAGAAATAGTCCCTTCAAAGATGCCTCCCCTTTCGTCCGCTTTCGTCAACCTGGGTTTCCTTTCAGCTGACCTGACCCGGCATTCCCGGAAGCCAGAAACCCACCGAGGGGTGCCAAAGAGCTGAGCATCTCGCTGATCCCTGCCGGAAGCCCTGTCGCAAGGAACGGCTCAACCAGTCGCCAGGGTAACCCCCGAAGTAGGGCAAGCCCTGGTACATGGAAAGGACGAAGGCCTGCGGCCTGGCGAGTCTTTTTCGGACTCATCGCCGCATGTTGGCCGTTGTCAAGCCGCCTTTAGCGGCTTCCGGGGATATGTATCGATGTCTTGTTTGACTCTGTTCCAGCCAGGCAGGCAGGCCGGTGGTGAGAGAATGGTCGCAATTCCCTACAACCTTACCTGGCCCAAGCCCAGCATTCACCAAGAAGACTACGTTCAGATTATGCTTCATACGCGGTAAAAAGGTTTGCTGGGTGCCTAACCCAGTATATAAAGTTGTGGTGTTTCGGGGATTCCTTGTACGCGACGCATGACCATGACGCACACTTGGGAAGTCATGACCATGGTCAAAGCACACTAAGCACCATGGGTTGGTCTTTTTTCCGAAACACCAAAAGTAGCACCGGTTTCTCTCTGCTTTCCCATGAAGCTGTCCTGAAAAAGATGCCAACTGAGAAACGACATGTGCGGTATGTTTGAGCAAGACCCCTTTCAAGGGAAACCAAAGGCAGGCTTCAATCAGGATGTCAACTGACTACGAATCAGGGATGTTGCCTGTTGGGGATTCGTTGATCTACTGTATGGCGTCGTGTTTTGTTAACCATTTTCGTGGCGAAGAAATCACACACGAACCCCGGCCCATGTTTTTGGGTCCCCCTTGACGCATGGACATATCCGCTGAGTTCAGAGCCTGGGTACCTCTTCTCAGGGTCGAAGATACTGTGGAGGGACCAATTCCTGCATGACTTCGAAACCAGAGACCATTGGTTGGCATTTCCGGGGGGAATCCTCAGAAACCAGGGTTTCTGAACGGTGGTGCGATTTCTGGATTTCGCAACCATGCACAGCAGCACGGGGATTCCGCTGGCTTCGGTTTGGTCCTAATCTACCGATCAAATCCATGGCTTCCGCGAAGATCTCCCACAGCGGTCGATTCCTAAGGCGCCACCGAGGCGGGAGCCATGAGAAGAGCAGGCGGTTGAATCAACGGCGACGGCTCTTTGCCCAGTTGCCCAGTGGTACCTTTTTCTTTCTTTTTTTTTGAAGGGTCCCGATTCCTTTGAAGTCAGCCACTAAAAAAAGGGCGGCCAATTCCTTTCTCCAACATGGCCACCGGACACAGTTTGTGATTCGGGCGCAAGAAATCTCGCCAGTTGTTTGGGGGTTTGAAGGCCTGGTCCTTGCAAACTCTAGCGTTTTCCCTTGAGTTGTTGGTGCTTGGTGCTTTTCTGGACTGAAGGACCCCTGGAATTCATTTGTTGTGTTCCAGGCAATGTGAACTTGATTACGCTGTCACCGATTCAGAAAAGCAATCCACGCCCAGATCCAAGTCCGAGGGGTCTGCGCGCCTGGCGTCCGACGGGTCCGTCGGACCTCTCCGACGCTTCCTCTCTGATCACTGGAAGAAAACTGATCCATGGCAGCTTTCTCTTGCGGACTTCCCCGGGCTTCTCCGAATCCTGGGGCATGGGGCTCGATGAATTGGGGACCGGCGGTTTTCGTTGGAGCCCAAATGCCCAGAAAATGGGGTTCCAAGGGTAGCCGGAAGCTGAGAAATGTTGGCCGGATATGCAAAAAAACTCCCCCCCCCCCTGCTTCCCCTGTTCCCCCCAGTTCCCCAGTTAACACCGGCACCCGAAGTTTGGCAGGGCGAAGCAGAAAGCTTCCCGGAAGGACAGAAGTCGAACGTTTTGGGGCGGCAGGTTGCAGCCCTTCATGGTTGTGCGCAGAAAAAAATCGGTCGGGGGACGCCGCTTTGGGAATCCACCCAAGTGACAATGTAGTTATGGGAATAACCCGTATTGGTATCACAGATCTGGGTGATTTCACACACCCTTCTTCGAGCATGTTTAAACCGGCGTTCAAACAACCCCCAAACCGCGCCAGTGCTTTGTAATTTGATTCCGGTGGTTGTCAAAGTCAGCTGAAACCAGGGTTGTGGGATCACTCGCGGTTTATTCCCACTTCTGTGATCCTTCTGGGAATCTCCCCCTCATATCGGGGGGGGGGTAGTCTTTGGGGCTGGCCCTTTTCTGTTCCCAATTGATTTTACAAGGGTATATACCCCTTTTGGGGAGAGGGGTCTGAACATCCGCAGGCCTTTCGGGTTCATTTGTAGGGGTATGTTTATCGGGGCATGTACCTTAACACCCCTAAACAGATTCGCGGATTCCATTTCAGCCGCCGAGACTGGTGGCCCCTCTCCATGGCTCGAACGCCACGGACACCTCCTAAAAGATGCGAACATAGCCGTTCTCCGTTTGATTTCCCGTCCCCCCCGTCCCCCCCCCCAAAAAAAAAAGAAGAAGAACAAGAAGAAGAGAAGAAGAGAGGGTAGCCTCAAGAACGACAAACCCGTGCAACAATGTATTCTTGCCTCAGTTGGCATCCTTTAGTCTTGGCTCATTTCTTTCTCATGCGCCCGGAGGGGCCCAAGATTTGAACTTTTTGCAGAGTCAACTCAGGTCAGATACAGGTGTTTCAACTGGTAAGAAGGGCCCCAACCCTGTCGTCTCAAACCAGAAGGTGCAAACGCCAGCAAGACTCACTCATTTGGTTTGCCTCTAATAGGGGAACTCCGCAAAATTTGGAGGGCAGGGGGGGTCCCTTTAGTCTCCCTTTAAACCAACCCCCAAAAAGGGTACCGCCAAAAAGACTCCCATTTTGCGGTGCTCGGGCTCAGTTATGTTTGAAACGACACCCTGAAACTAGCGGGATGGATCAATGACTGGCTGGCTTTGAGATTGAACCGTGGCTCACCCAATTGAGCGCCGCCTTTTTGGAGTAGGTGTTCCGACTGGGATGTAAACAAGGCCTATGTAACCTTTCAAAACCACAGCATTGGGGTTTCTTGGCGGGCAACTGCGCCTTTTTTCCCAACAGCTGAGCGCTTGTGGTCTGCCCAGAAATCCGGAGTGGTTCGGAGCGCTTGTGGTCGGTCCCCTAAAGAAAGACGCCAGAGTCAACTTGGGGCGTCAGGATCTTCCGCAATCCTCGGCTCCGCTTCGGCCCGATTTTGCCACCTTTCCAGAGCCAGAGACAGGCGCGCCCTCGTGGGGTTTTCGCGCGTGTCCTTTTTCAGGGTTTCCTAGAGATTCCCTCAAAGGGTGGTTTTAAAGCATTGCCTGTGGCGCCAATTTAAGGTTGTTTTCCTTGCCATTGGTGACGTTTGAAGGGGACATATTGGGGAACCCAGTTTTCGGTCCTTACCCAGTACCCACGCCAACCTTACATGCAAAAAGAAGGTGTCCGTGTCCGGATCCCTAACTTATTTCTCGTGCCTGGCCGGCCGTTTTGGTCAGTCGAAAGGGTGAAGAGTCCCGAGAAAAAAAGAAAAAAGAGAAAGAACACCTATCCCCCTGAAGCTGCAGGCCTGCCTCAAAATCATGGACTGGGTTGGGCTGGAAGGCTTAAAGGACACCAGCCGTTTTCGGGGCACCGTGTCCTATTTTCATGTTGCGGAACGGTTTTGCCTTCCCCACCGCGCTGAGGCCAAGTTTTCGGCGCGCCTCCGCCGGCGACTCAGCGCCCTCGGCTTCCGTTTGATTTCCAGTTTTCGGGTTCGAGGCCCGAGGACGATGGATTCTGGGACGAGGGGACCAGCTGGGTCAGAGGCCGGAGAGTTGTTTTCTTGTGATGAATTCCCCCCACGAATGCCCCCCACGACCATGGCCCGCATGCTTTGCAAACTGCGGCTTTCGCTTGTGGAGGAGCTGCGCCCGCACCGGTCGCGGCGGCGGCACCGGTCGCAGCGGTCGCACCGGCTGCGCCGTTTCATGGTTGTTGTTGGGCAACATTTTTGCTTGTTGTGGTTTAGTGGTTGATCTTCACTTAACTGCGAAAATTTAAGTTTGCTCCCCTTCCAATGTCAACCAAGGTTTGCGCCGTTTGCGCCGTTTGCGCCGTTTGCGCCGGTTGCCCCGTTTGCCCCGGGCCTGGACTTGCCTGGCCCTTGGCGCGGGGGCTATCCTCCGGTTCCGGACGCCTGGTACCCGCCGCTGGGCGACCTCGACGACGCCGCAGATGGGCACAGCGAAGCTGCGGCCCCCGAAACCGTCCCTGTGGCCGACACAGGCCGGGAGGGGGTTCTTTGTTGGCTTTTTGCCAAGATTGGCACGCAACATGCGTGGATCTGGGTGAATTATTCTCACACGACCTCACCCGAAATGGTGGTTTATGTGGAGAGTAGCCCCCCAACGACCTTATTTCAGGTTGGTGACATACCATATTTCACCCAGGTTTTTATGTGCACGTGCAGATCCGCTTGGAGGGAATGCCGACGTAATTGCATGAACCGGGGGTGTTCCACTGGCAAAATCAAGAATCCCCTCTGAGTTGACTATCAATCAAGTTGATCAATCCTGGGTCCACTGTCACGTGCTCCTTTTTTTTTTGTCAGGAGCGGTGGGTGGACGATGGCGGAAGGGCAGAAGGCCCGAGTTGGGATGAGTTTGTTGCAGCGAGGGCTCCTGCTTGGTTTTGTTTGACATGTATATATATATATATGTATACACAGGTATCGTACAAAAAGCCAAGCCATAATCAAGAAACAAGCATGAACAAACAAGAAACACAATAATGAATGAGCCAAACACAAACATGAACGAGTTGATTAAATAGATACATCTATGGCTGAATAGCAAGTAAATACGTTCATGATGAATCAACCAATCGTTGTATGTATATATATATATATATATAAGATATATGACTTCAGCATCATAAATGCAGAAATCAACATGAATAGATATGCATGAGTAAATACATCAACCCCACATTAAGGACGAATACCCAGTACATTCAGCAAATCATGTGAATGAAGGAAGGAATGAAGACATGCTTCACTGCCTGACTGGCTGAATGATTGAATGAATGACTCAATGACTGGATGAGTGAATGAGTGAATGAGTAAATGTCTGAATGAGTGAATGACTGCATGTCTGAATGACTGAGCGACAGAAGGATTGAAAGACTGAATGACGGATTGACTGCCTGGCTGACTCACTGACTGACTGACTGAATGAATGAATGCATGCATGCATGCATTCATGCCCCCGCCCCTCTCCTCGCCCGGCATTTTCGGCTGACACCGCATTCTGACGCCACATTCTTTGACGCCACATTCTTTCACCAGCAGCAATTGAGTGCTGCACAATGGAAAAGGCCCCCGATGTTTAGCGCTCTTTCAACATGCTATGTTCCGCTCGTACACTTTGCGGGTCCTCATGCTAGACTACCGCAAGCGCTCGCGACCAGCATGTTAGCTCAGGAGGGAAGTCTTCTTCGGGAAGTCTTCCTCGTCTGCGGCGAGGAAGTTCTACCCGGCGGCAGCAACGATAAAACAAATGAATACACAAACAAATGAATGAAATCAATGAATTAATGAATGAAGGAAGGAAGGAAGGAAGGAAGGAAGAAAGGCAGGAATGAAGGAAGGAAGAAAGGCAGGAATGAAGAAATGAAGGATGAAGGAATGAAGGAACGAACGAACGAACGAATGAATGAATGAATGAATGAAAGAAAGGTATGGCTGAATGAATGAAGTGAAATGACATCAATGCATGCATGAATGAATGAAGGAAGGAAGGAAGGACTGAATGAATGAATTAATGAATTTATGAATGCATGCATGCATACATGCATGCATGCATGCATACATACATACATACAGTCGTGCGCAGAAATGCACATACATACGCACATACATACATACATACATTACATTACATTACATTACATTACATTACATTGCATTGCATTGCATTACATTACATTACATTACATTACATTACATTACATTACATTACATTACATACATACATACATCCATACATACATACATACATTCATGCATGGATGCATGCGTGCGTGCGTGCGTGCGTGCGTGCATGCATGCATGCATGCATGCATGCATACTTACACGCGCACAACCATGACTACATACGTACATACACACATGCATCCATACATGCTTGCGTAAGTACACACAAACATGCCTACATACCTGCATACATACGTACATAAATTCATGTTTAGTTAAATACGCACAACCATGCCTACATACCTACGTGCATACATACGTACATACAGACAGACAGAGACAGAGACAGAGACAGAGACAGAGACAGAGACGGAGACGGAGACAGAGACAGAGACGGAGACGGAGACGGAGACGGAGACAGAGAGGCAGACACATCCATCCATCCTTCCATACATGCATGCATACAAACAATTTGTATATTCAAATCACACAACAACTGAATGGATGCATCACTAAACAACACACAAGCAAGCAATAAGGCAAGCAAACAAACAAACGAACCAACACAACAACAACAAACAAACAACAGCAAGCAAACAACGACAAGCAAGCAACCACAAGCAAACAACGACAAATAAAGAATGACAATTAAAGATCGACAAACAAAGAACTAACAGCTAAACAACTAAACAGCAACAGCACATACGTCAATACCGTAATAAAGAGATATATAAAAATGAATAAAAAACAACACACAACAAACATCAAGCAAATAGATGGATAGATGGATAAGCAAATAAATACATGAATCAATCAACCGCTGAATCAATAAAGCAATACATGCACGAATAAATGCATACATCAATCAATAAATAGATATGATCTTGATCTTGAACTAACTATCTAAACAAATTCATGAATGCACAAACAAACACATAAACTCATACATGAATGAATAGATAAATACAGAGGTGAATAAGAACGTACATCAGTCAACAAATACATGAATTCAAAAGTACATAAATGCAGAAATCAAATAGATAGATGCATACATACATACATCAATAGAAACTGCAAAACTAACAGACCGATAGATCGATCGATCGATAGATAGACAATCGTGTAAATATGTAAAATACACAAAATTATCATAAGCAAACACGTACATCAATACCACATCAGTAGATAAGTTAAGACACAATCAATACATAAACCAATGCTTATATACATGAACCAACACATGCGCACAACATGCGAATACATGTATATACATATACACTCATCGCGAAGCAAATTGAGAACTGCATAAAACAATGAATACATCAATCAATGAATGAATAAATGAATGCACAATACATGGTCTGAAACAAATAAGTTCATAAATACATGAATAAATATATAAATTCATCCAACAAATAAATGAATAGATACTTACACCAATTAAGATACTAATACATAATCAATAAACACACAAATCAATACATAAACAAGTACATCAACACATACATGAATACGCCAGTAAACAAATAAATTAATGAACAACCAACATAGCAGTTGAAGAAGATTCATAAGGACCGAACACCGGCGTGGTAAAATAGAACGTCACAGTGATCGGTGGGCAGCAACACAACACATGCATTTACATAATTAGATAGACCGATGAATGCAAACATAGGTAGATACACAATTACGTCACTAGAGAAACAAATTAGCGAAATAGAACAGCAACAAAAAACGATAAATGAACACAAATAAATGAAGAAATGCATACATAAACAAGGAAGCACATAAGTATGCCGATAGCATGAATTAAAGCGAGTTAATCAACACTCAACACATCACATATGCATATAAACTAAAACAAGCCAACTGTGATAACGCCGATACATAGACAGGTACATGGGCACACAGGAGCACGAGTTGAATACACATACCTTCTTGAACTTGGAAAGGATTCAAGGGTGGGTTTTTCTCTGAAGAATGATCATGCTCGTCCCCCGTCATTGGTCCACGTTGCCCGCATACCAGAAGATCCGCCTTGTGCATGGGGAAGTGGCCTGTTTTCAGGGTGTGATGCCATCCCCCGACCACGCAATGGAAACGTTGAATGAACACCTAGCGGGCTAGGAATCAAGTGAAGTTGTCTCATGGTGCCGAATCTCTGCGAACATTATGGCCCATTGAATCATGGGTCAATGATGAGAGTTCCTTACTTCGGGACTCCTGGAAACCCCAAAACTTGTGTGTGTGTGTGTCTGTGTTTTTTGAGGGTTCACGAAAGGAACACCAAGAACCACTTCGGGGTTTCTTGCCCAGGACTGAGTTGGCGGAAGGGCCAGGCCTGGATCGAAAGTCAGAGAGAGCGCAGCGACTGGGCGAAATGTCATTTTGCACCACTTGGGATGGATGAAGCCCTAAAAACAGTGGAATACACTAGCTACCAACTGGTGCAGGACTTGGCTGTGGGTCAAAACCATTGGTACCATTCTGGGCTCGGTGCACCACCCATTGGTCTATTTAAGTGGGGATTGGCTCTTGACGCATGGCCATTCCGCTCTCACAGTATCACGCAGATCAAGAATATTCGATTCCAGCTGGCGAAACTTCAGACTCAGCGTTGCTCCGGTCGAGCTGTTCCTTTCATGGTTGTTGTTGGGACACATTCTACATTATTGTGGTTCAGTGGTGGAAATCCCCACTTAACTGCTAAACTTTTTATTTTTTTGCTCCCCTTCCAACGTCAACCAAGCTTTGGGAGCGTAGGTCCTGAACCCGACGAGCTGCAGCCAAAGCTGCTGCAGCCTTCGCTGGAGCAGGTGCTTCGGCAGCCGCCGCCTGTGCCGCCCCCGCCAGGCGGGCGCCCGACGCGTCGCTGGCTTGGTGTCTGCGGTTTGGTTGCATCGCGTCTTCGGCTTTTTTTTTTCTCCCATTTTTTTTTGCAGGCAGCCAGCAAGTTGAACTTTATTTTTGCGCTGGGTAGCCACAGAGGCTTGGGGAGAAGATGAATCGAGGTGCATGGACGTGAGAGCCACAACCTTGTTCCCGTTCAGTTTTTAGAGAGGGGTCCCTTAACTGTCTGCCAAAAAGGGGTAATTACCTTTCAAGGTCTGGGACAAAGAACACCCCATTTTTCGTTGGGTCTCCCCCCCTATCGGGCAAGGTGATTTGGATTAGAACCAGGCGGATTTGACCCCCTGGTTCTTGTAGAGGGTACATGGGAAGCCTCCCCAACCCGGGCTCCAAACCACCAATCGGGGGGTATGGATCCGCAGGTGGCAGGAGGAGTCTCGCGCAGTGCCCGAACAACCCATGGTTGAATTCCCAGGTTGGAACAAAAAGGGGCTGGGTACCCCGCACTTTCACAACCCAAGCAGGGCCGTTAAACCGCCGTGATGATGGTGAAATATTTGTGGGGTCGTTTGCAGCAGGGCCAAAGCGCACAACAAAACAACAACCGCAAGCAACGCAGCGGGCGGTTCGCCTCTGCCAGCCCCCGTGCCGGACACCGTCCCCGTGCCGGACACCGTCCCCGAGCCGGACACCGTCCCCGTGCCCGACACCGTCCCGGCCGACACGGAGGCCGAAGACATTTTTGTGAGGGTTTTCGCGTTAGATTCGAAGAAACCTGGAAACGTTTCAGGACGTCCTTGCTTTTGGTGGGTATGTGTAGTTCCATTGGTCCGAAACTCCTGTTTTTGGCGGCTATTTGTAGTTCCAATGTCCAGGTCAGACATTCCTGTAGCTGTTGATGGGAATAGGGGTGGGGCGGGGAAGTTTCCGAGCTCCTGTACCTGTCGCCCAAACGTGGGAATAGCAATGGGGTGGGAAGTATGGGGTGGGAAGTATGGGATGGGAATGATGGGAAGCCCACTTTGGATCACACAAAGGGTCATGTATCGTTTGAAACGCTTTTGTTTCCGTTTGGTGTCCGGTTCCAAATTGCATATTTGCCAGGTAACCCGCAATTGTTGGTTTGGATGTGTTGTTTGGGGGCTTGAATCCTGGTTCTCGTGGAGGGTAAATGAGAAACTGTTTCAAAACCCGCCACCAACTAAAGGGAAGCTGATTTATATGCTTGAGAACAAACTGACGTTTTGAATTCCCTTCGTGAGGATGACCTTTGTGGTTTTTCCTTTGGGGACCGGCATGAGTTGCCAACCAGCGAGAGCTAGCTTCGATCTCAATGCAAAAGTCCCCGACCTGTTCCAAGCTTCAGATTTGCTAAGAGTTGACTCCTCACTAGCCACAATTTGGAAATCGTGTTTATCGCTCGAGGCTTACCTGCTGAGTTGGTAATCTTAAACATTTTTGTTGGTTGGTGTCTTTATCACTTACCCTCCCTCCAACTATCATGACAACTGACAGGGGCTCCCTTCAAAAGGAAATGAATCTTCCAGATACCTCCCCACACGTGCCATGTTAGTTGGAGGAACAGTAATTGAAGCCAACAACACACTTGAATTTACCAGGTCAGACGGTATCCACTGCATGATCTCGCACACCCCTGTCGCGAATAGGCAGAATCCACACCAAGAGTTTACTTGGTGTGACTAGGGCTGGTCACTAACCCAGGATCATGGCAAGGATTCCCAAGGAGCCATGAGCATGCCCACAGATTTGCGGTTTTGCCCATGGCACATAGTAGTTTCGGGCTCCGATGTACCACCCCCCTCCCCAACTTATTGTCAAGGATCCCTGTTTGGTGGGGATTCCAATTCTCCACAACCCCCCCTGACTATGAAACATGGCTGCGGGTCAAAAAATCGGCACCCAACGAGAAACCCTGGTAAGTGGAATGGACTAAAACCTGCGGTCCAATTCCTGGTGGTTTAATTTTGACCCATACCCCCTACTCAAAATACCGGTTTTTTCAGGGCATTTTCGGGAAAACCTGGTTTTCCATGGTAAACACCTCCTTTTTAGTAGAGGGTCGACATGATACCCTGAAAAAAAGTGGGTACTTGGAGTAGGGGATACCCATACCAGACCTTCGATTCGCGAGGATGCCAAGGGCGTGGACCTCATTTCGCCGGGTCGGACCGGTCGGTGGGGGGGGAGGGGTTGGGAACCGTGGCAGTGGTTGGCAAGTGGGCGGTTTTCCCTGGTGGTTTCCCCTACCCAAAATGGAGCACCCATGAACATCATCTTTTGGCTGCCAATGTCACTTGTGGGCTTCTGAAGGTGGTCTTCACATAGTTTTGGAGCTGCAGCCCTGTGTCTTGTGGCTTCGCCTGTTAAAACTGCCCCGCATTTTCCCAAGCCCATGCTGAATTCAGAGTACGCCACATGCCCAGGTGACAAGAAGAAAAAGAAGAAGAAGAAGAAGTCGAAGGACGATCCCGGCCCCGAGGCTCGCTCCAGCGCGCGTGCTCTCGAAACATGTCTTGGTTTGCCCGAAGGCTCGGAACGAATGGCACGAAGGTTTTTTCTTCGTATCCTCGAGCCTGGAGATTCTCCCGAAATTTCCAAAGAGACTCACATGTTCAGGGAGCCGAAAGGACGAGGGACCCCAGGCTTTGGCAAGTTGCCTTCGGTCAAAGGAGCGGTGACATTTTTCCGAACACTGGAAAGCTAAAAATTCAATGAGCCCTATTTCCAATGCCAGAGCTTACCTTTTTAGCTTCAAGACCCTTGTGGTTTTCCTCATTTTGTTCACTTGTTGCCGGTCTTGCGCCGCGTGCAGACAGAAAGACATGGGACCTGGTCAGAGTTGGCCAGTGTCAAGGTGGTCTTTTTGTGAGTAGCCTTCTTACCCTTGGAAGGGAAGCCAGGAAGACCGAAGTCAGACATTTTTTTGGGACCGACTCCTTTGAGACAAAGCTGTGGATCCATTGATTCCAACAGGTCGCGGAAGTTACTGAACCCGAACCTGCAGAACCAGAGCCGACCAAAACCGAGAGCCCCGTCGCGGCCTTGGACCTCGGATTCGTTCGCGACGTCAGGAGCCGTGATCGAAGCCCGGGTATGTGAAGGTGAGGAGGCAATCCCAGCCAGAAGTCGCCTTCACGGTTTTGGGCCTTTGTGATGCCAGGTGTTAATTATCACCCGAGAGATAATGTCAACTTCAGCTTCATCCGGAGGTATCTGGTCAAAGCTCCCTCAAGCAGATCAGTTTCGTTTTAACCTCGGAGACTTCCCCCCCCCGATGAAAAACACACATCGCGGATTCCGAAGTTCCCTGACTTCTTGAGACTTGACGCCTGGTTCAGCGCGAGTGACCAAGGTTCTGACCGGATTGTTTTCGAAGACCCGATTTTCTGGGCTCGCGGACGGCTCCGACGAGGAGGCGGTTTTTTTCTCCCTCCTTTTTTTTTTTTCCGGGTCTGGTTTGGGAGACCATTTGGGGAGGGGGGGGTGTCCTTGACTGAGGGTACCCGTTTTGGAGTGGTCTGGAGGGAAGCCAAAGGGCACTTTATCATTCTGTGGGTTCCCGAGTCTGAGACAAACCCCACAAACCCCCTCTTTCCAACCATCATGACAGGGTTTGGAAATCCGTGAACAAGCTCCTTGTCCACAAGCAGAAAAGATGCCGCCGCAAATGCTGGTTCGGGAAGTTGAGGAAACCGCCAATGTTCGGAAGCAGGGCAAGCTCCACATGTACAGTCTTCCTCACAAACATGAAGGGAAGAGTGCCATCTACCGGCCCAGTGCCGCCTGTTGCCATTAACCATTGGAAAGCTCTAGTGGTAACCTGCTGTTAGCATACCAGTTGGAATATGGTGGTATAGTGGTACCTATACTGGTATAGCGGTTGCTGCCGGTGCACCTATGGTCCAAATCCCCGGTGACCTGTTTTCTACCTGGCTCTGGGTCTCAGCGCGAGGCGGCCAAGCCGCAGGGCAAGGCGAGCGAGGGGCGAGCCTCGTTCGGGCGGTTGAGCTTGTTCAATGGTTGAAGCCCCTCAACAGGGGGGGGACCAGAACAACCCAAGGGGGGACCACCTAAGGATTGTGAGTTGCCTATGAAAGATCATGTCAATGCTTCCGGCAGCGCTTCTTTATTTGAGCAGCGCAAAAGAAAAAGCTGTACGGACAGCTTCCTTGGCTTTGGACATGGGATTTGAAGAGGCAGGGACAGAACCCTGCTCAGGCCAAGGCGAAAGCCAAGTCGAAGGCGACTGCAAAGCCAAAGGCGACCGTGCCGAAGAACGCGCCCAAGCCCGCCGCCACCCCCGCCCCCGCCCCCCCCGCCCCCGCCCCCGCCCCCGCCCCCGCCCCCGCCCCCGCCCCCGCCCCCGCCCCCGCCCCAGCCCCAGCCCCCGTCGTTGCGGTTCCCGTGGCGGTTCCAGCGCAAGCTCCGGCGCCGCCAGCCAAAGCGGCCCCAAAAGCGGCAGCCGCGCCAGCCCCGGCAGCTCCGCCCAAAGCACCTCCGAAGCTGCCGAGCAAGGCACCGGGGCCGAAGCTGGGCACTGAGTTGATCTGATTCCTGGCCATCGGCTTGCGCGCTTGAAGATTGAAGCCTGAAGTGTCGGCACTGCCCGATACAACTCTTTGCAGACTTAGCATAATGGGTGGGTCTCAAAATAGGACATCCCTGAAAATGAGTGATTTCCTTCAGTTTCTTTGTTGTACCCCAAAATAGTACCCTCAAAAGATCTCAAAAGGCTGTCCCGTATCTTGCCGATGTTGCCGTCGCCGAAACGTTTCGGCTCGAGCGGTTTTTATGTGAGAGTCTCGAAATTGGAGGAGCCACACGAGGCTCGGTCGAGCGTCAAATGTCCATTTCGGGACATGACTCTTTTGCGTTCGGAAATCATGGGCAAATGCGATGCCTGGTGACGGGAAGAACCCAGTGACACCAGTGGTAGGGAGATTTTTGGGTTTCAACTTGCGGCAAGTCCAGCCTTGAGCCCCGAAAGTGTCGTGCGGGTTTGCTTTGGGTCAAACCCCCATCCCCTAAGGTGCCATTTGGGCGAGCACAAAGGCATCTCGAAGGAGCTTTTGCTTGGGGGGTAATCTTCCGGGAATTGCGAGACAAACATGGAACCCTGCACTGGAAAATTGGCGGCGGGGGGGGGGGGGAAGATCTCGAGCCATTTTGTTTGGTCAAAATGTCTAGTCATCTATATTGATCCATTTGGGAAGGACATGGGGACCTCACTAAACATTTCCCCAAAACACAAAAACCAGAAGACGAGCCCGACCTTTTTCACGTATCCAAGGGCATGGAGCCTTCTCAGGGTGTCGGCCTTCGATCAAGATGCCCTTGTTTGCTTTTGCAACTTAGAGCGGCGCTGCTTCCAGGTTACCACTATACTAGGTATGTTTACCTTTATGCTGCGCATGGCTTTTTTTGTGGTTGCCTATGTCAACCGGAAGCACTGGGATGAAGCCCGTCGAATTCGCGCAGTGAGCGGCCGCCACACGGAGACGGTTTCCGGCCAGGCATGACCTCTCGCTCTCAGAGCAAGGCCCGCGCGAGATGGCGAGAGGTGTTTCCTTGATCGCCCGTGTGCGAGATCAAGTCCTCGGGATCCAATTTTCTGATGTCAGATTTTGGGCTCGTAAAGTTAGATAGATGCCGGTTCCGGGAGTGGGACCTCGCGGGCGCCTTGCCCCTTGACGCTGATGTCAAGTGAGCAAAGAACTTGCTGGTTCTCAGCAAGAGTAAGAGAAGGACCCCTGTAAACCATCTCCTATGGTTTCCTTATTTTAACGCCTCCGGCTCAGCCCGGCCGACATTACAGGCCTGTTTCCCCCACTAAGATCTATTTCCCTTTCCCCCCGGTAAGATCTTCCCCCCTTTTTATCTTAAGGGGGAAGGGGGGAACAATTCTTAGGGGGAAAGGGGGGGAAAGATCTTAGTGGGGAAACAGGTGGAAAAGATCTTAGGGGGGGAAAGGGAGGAGAAGATCTGGGGGGAAAGGGGGGAGAAGTTCTTTGGGGGGGGGGGGAAGGGGGGGGAAGATCCCCCCTAAAATCTGTTCCCCCTTCCCCCCTTCCCCTCCTAAGATCTTTTCCCTCATTTCCCCCCTCAGATATTCCCCCCCCCCTCTCCCCCCCTCACAAAGGGTCAAAGACGAAGGAAACAGACGGAAACGATCTTAGGGGGGAGGGGATCCGGGGGGGGGGGGGGGGAAGATCTTAGGGGGGGAAAGGGGGACAGATCTTAGCGGGGAAAGGTGGAAAAGATCTTAGCGGGGCAAAGGTAAGCCATTAAGATGTTCAGACTTTAAGCCATCAGGATTTTAACGCGTTAAGCTACTCAGATTTTCAGATTTTAAGCCCTTAAGCTTTCATTTCCCTTCATGTCCCTTCACTCATTTCCACTCAGTCACCTTCAGTTCCCTTCTTTTCCCTTCACTTTCCTTCACTTCCCTTCCTGTTATTTTCCTTCATTTCACTTCATGTCCATGGTTTCCATTCAGTTCCCTTCATTTCCCCACATTTCCTTTCACTAGCGTGGGCAATATCCCCAGCATCACCTGCACCATCCGAATCAATGTTTGCCAAGGATGCGGATATTGCAGGTGTTGCTGGCGATGGTTTGGAGATGCTCAGGGTGCAAAAGTGGACCTGGGAATCGAAGTTGTACATGAAAAGAATTAAATCTACGAAAAGGGGGCGTCTTGGAATCACCGCGACGGTCCGAAACCATGCATTTCCCTGAGGGGTGGGTAACAGGTAAAGAGGTAAGGAGCATTTCCCCTGAGTCATTCCAAACTGAGACACCAGCAAGTCAAAAACTTGATTTCCTTTCTCGACCGCCCAGTTCGTCAGGGAATGCCAGGCGTGAGTAACCCTCACCGTGTGCTCTTCGAAAAGCACACGTTGGCTTGGGATCTATTCCTCATTTTCAGACCCATTTTTCTTTGGGTTGCTAAACAAGGCGTGCAGGCGAAGAGGGCTCGCCAAAACCCACTGGTAAAGCGGAATCAAATCTTGCTGGATTGGGCTGTGTTTCTTGTGTAGGGAAAGAAGTCGCGCGAAAAAAGGAAAACACAACCCCCCCCAAAAAAATCCGACTTCGCAGGCCTCTGCCTCCGGGTCCGCCCAGCGAGGAGGTCGGAAGGGACTTCTTTGCACCAACCAAGCCGAATCAGTTTTGACAACCTGCGAACAGATGCTTTAAAAAGCCCTTTGAGTTGGGGGCTTTTTCAGGGGCCGCCCCCACGGCCCCGGTCTCTGGCAAGAATCTGCATCCAGCTTTCCGAACTTCAACCGCGGTTGCGCCCAGCCGCTGGAACCGGAGCTTCTTGTGGCTATGGGCTCGTCCGTTGTGGTACCTTTCTCGGGATGTTTCGTCAATGGAAATCGCCCATGGGATTTGACAAAGTTAACGGTGTCAAAGTCAGGGCCTGTCTGGCACCACCTGCTTTCTTTTTTGCACTGTCCAAAAGGGGCCGCAGACAGTTCTCAACTTCATCGGGAAACCGAAAGAAAGCCGCCCATGAAACTTTTTTGTTGGTTTCTTTGTCATTTGAGTCAAGCCCAAAACTGCTTGAACTTTTCGCTGACCAGTCAATTCTCAGATGTTGAGGCCCTAAATTCAATTTTAGAACCGAGGGAATCTCCAGGAGGTATTTTTCAGAAAGCGAGCAGGAGGCTCGGCGTCGAGGGCAACCACGGTCCCTGCTTCGCCGAGCTCGCCCAGCAGCAAGTTTGCCGCTTGGGCAAATGAGAAGACACGGGTGGATGAAGCACAAGGGACAATCACTGTGAATAGGTGAAAGTCTCCAAATGAGGAGACCCCCAAATGGGGTGTTTCTTTTTGTCTTAACACCACCCCCCCAAAAAAAAATGAAGAAGAAGAAGAAGAAGAAGAAGAAAAGTGTCCTAAAGAACAGAGACACCGTGAGAGACAACCACAAAGGGGGGCAGTTGTTTGCCCTTTTTGATCCTTTGTATTGGGTTTAACTCAAGTGGGGGTCTCAAAGTAGATACGGGAACGTAATGGGGTCCCTTCTCCATGTTCCCAAGAAAGGCCTTCCTCACATGTCCGCTGTTGCCTCGGCTCCTCCAAATCAGAGCTTTTCAACACCCACCTTGTGAAAGGCACCGGACAGCGGAGCCCGAAGCTGCGAATGCTCTCCGAAGCCATGCTTGGGCTTGCCCCAAAATCTCAGGTTGGGATGAGAGAACCTTCCTTTGGGTCTTGGAGCTGGGTGTTTTTTGGGTGTCAGCTGAGGCATCCGGCCGTGACGGAGGCAGGGAGCTTGATCTCTGGGGAAGGGGTGAGCCTGGTTAAAGATAGATGGGTTCCACTGGTTTAGATGGGGTTTGTTCCATTTACCAGGGCCGTCTATTGTTCCAAAAGGCCACCTATGGGTGTGCCCCCTCCTTAAGCACAGTTTGGGAATTTGGGTGCTCAGGTCCTCGCTGCCCCTTGTCCGCCAACGGCCATGGGGTTATTCTGCCAATCCTGGCAGAATCCTAGGGAGGTTCCAAAGACGACGTTCCGGGCCTGTTGGGGGGTACTCCTTGTTTGGTTGTGGCTGGATCTTTCTCCTTTGGCTTTTTGGGAAAGCTTGTTGCTTCTCAGCAGGAAATGAGGAATGCCATGACAAAAAAGAGGAACAATCAGATAAATACAATCCACTGCGGGAAGAAAAAGACAAATTAAATAAATACAATCCACTGCAGGAAAAAAAGAGAGATAAAAGTGCCCGTATGGTTCCTGAAAGGGAAGCCCCTTCCGCTTCATTCCCACCCCAGCTTGGGCAGGGCAACCGCCTTGCCTTGCCCGAGGCAAGAGCATGCCTTGCCCGTGGACCGAAGGCCGGATCGAAGCCAACGGATTCAAAAGGGTTTCCTTTCGGGGTAGCCCAAACTAAGCGGTCGAACAGCCGAAGGGTTGAGGTTTGGTGTTAAGTTTACCAAACGTGTTTGCAAGCTTTGTGGGTGTGTCTCTCATTTCCGATCCAAAAAGGGGAGCACTATTTTGAGGGCCTTCACGTGGGACCGTTTGGGGGTGTCTTCTTTTGGGAGATCCCCAAAATGGTGGTTTGGCGTTTTGGTTTCCCTCTAAAACCACAAGAAAGGGGTACCAACTCGGTTTGTCGTGCAGGAATGGACAAGAGAGCCTCCAGCAAGGAGCCCTTGCGCTTTTCGATCCGAGTGAGTCGCATCTAGGGGGGGGGAGAACCGTTTTCCCCTCAGGAACGCCAGTCTAGGAGTCCACCTTTAAGTGTAGGGAAACCACCTGAAAAAACAAGAGGTAGAGGTGGGAAGTCCACCCAAAAATGGTACATTTGCGTAGATGTCTTGCTCCATACACACGGCACCATACCCAGCAATTGGTTGTTTACAGCCAGAACTCGGCGCAAAAGGAAGCATGCGATTTGTGGGAGTTTGGACCACAAATGGGTTTGGGTAGACTTCTTTGCAGGTTGGGCCTGGTGGTTCCCTGCGCAGGAGACCCTATAACTCATTGGTAATGCGGGCTGTGCAACATTTGTTGG